CCTGGCCTGACAGCAGGTTTTCCCACAGGCCCTGAATGAAGCCTTGAAGCTCTTCAAGACACATTCCCCTCAGACCTCTGCCATGCTCTTCACAGTGGACAATGACGCTGGCAAGATCACATGCCTGTGTCAAGTCCCCCAGGTCAGAACACCCTGCAGCCCTGCGCCGGCGGGGAACGGTGCTGGAAGCTTGGATCTTCCCAAAGTTGTTTGCCAAGGCCCTTGTGTGCGTGCGCCGCCGGTTAGAAACAGCCATCCTCCTGGCCCCGGTTGTCACCTCCTCCAGCACCCCTACCCTCAGGCCATCTCCTTGGGAAACACGTTCCACTGTGCTGATATCTGGCCTGGCAACTCCGTGTGCCTCACCTGGGCTGGGGCACCAGCTGTAGGATCCGTTTCAGCCCTGGCAGCCGCACCCGGAAGGGCAGGAGTCGGGCTCAGGGGTTCCCCCATCCTTTTTCATTTCCTCCCCTCTCCATGTCTTCCTCAGTCTCGTCTTCTGTCCTGACTCCCACTTTTTGTTTTCCAGAATGCAGCCAACCGGGGCCTGAAAGCCAGTGAGTGGGTGCAGCAGGTGTCAGGCCTGATGGACGGCAAGGGGGGTGGCAAAGATGTGTCCGCTCAGGCCACAGGCAAGAATGTGGGCTGCCTGCAGGAGGCACTGGAGCTGGCCACTTCCTTTGCGCAGCTCCGCCTGGGAGATGTGAAGAACTGAGGGGCAGGGGAAGCTTCCACTGGGAGGCATCCTTCCTTCTCCCGATGGATCCGTCCAGCCAGCTCTCCCATCTGCCACGAGGACATTCGGATCTTGGGACCTTTAAACAGCCCTCTCTGCTCCTAACCCAGCAGTAACGAACTCACTCACCTGGAAGCTGGCCTGTGACTCCTGGCCTACGTTACATTTCTGCCCTGAGCCCTACACACCAGCACCATCCGTCTGAAACCACTACCCCAGGATTGCTATTTATCACTGTCCTGTTCGTGTCTGTAGATAGAGTTCCTTGTGGGCCTAAGGGTCTGGGTCCGCAGGGAGGGGTCCTTGTGCTGCAGAGAATAAAAGGACTTTGTGCAATACCTGATGATGCCGCGTGATCTCGTAACCGCCCACCTCCCGGGAGCCCCCGTGTGGCAGCCCGTGGCTCCAGCTGGCTTCTGGCTCTGGTCCTCACCAAGTCCAGCCCCAGACTCCTGAACTTCGGGAATGGCTGCTGGGAGGAGGTGGCCCATAGAATGGGGAGTTGAGGGTGAGATGAGAGAGACATTAATCACTGAATAGAAGATGGGCCATGCGGTTACTGAAGCAGTTCATAGAAGAAGTCCACTTCTTCCCTTCCCTTTTGATGAGTCGTGGGGGCTGAGACCAGAGGTTTTCTCTGGTACGGGACATACTTAAGGGGCATTAGTTGCCTACCCCCACTCCTCTGACCCAAAGATGGACCGTGAGGATTGGGACCTGCCTGGTCCTGAATCCTTCACTCAGGTCTGAAGACAGCTGGGCTTGGAAACTGTGCTTGCTTGTGCTGGCTTTGGCTGATTCCATGTTCCCTGGGTATGGGTGGCTGTGGGGCCCAGGTTCACTTAGGTCTGATGACACAGAAGGAGGGGGAAAGCGGGTCTATGGTGGGAGAAGCAGTGAGGCGAGCTGTCACCAGATGGGGGTGAGGGGCTGTCCTTGGGGTGAGAAGCGCTCAGGGAGAGGGTGCTGAGGACCTGGCTTCACCAAGCACATGCCAGGTGAGGACTCCCATGGGTACAAAGAGTACACAGTCCCGTGTGTACTCTCCGTTCCATCAACAAGCATGGTGCCAGCCAGGGCACTGAGGATGGGAGGAATGACCAAGACAAAAAGCCAGCCCTCTTGGGGAAGTCCTGGGGAAACACGTAGGAGATAGTCACACAAACAAGTGCAAAATAAAAATAATCACAACCTTCACAAGTGAAAGGACGAAGACGTACACCCTGGGATTGCTCGGGCCCGAGAGGCTAGAGGTCAGCCAGGCCGGACCGAGTCCCACTCCTGCAGGCCTGCCCAGGAGGTCTATCCATTTATCCATTCAGATCCCGGGGTCCTCGAAGCGGCCTCGGGGATCAGCCGCGCCCGGGGTTCTCCCTCCAGGACGACAGGGGGCGGTGCGGCGCCGCACGCCGCTATCCCGACAGTCCTCGCGCGGGCGCGCGGCTTTAAGCGGGCGGAAGAACCCGCGCGCGAGGCCGGGACGGCGGGCGGAAGCGGCTCGCACGGTAGGCGCAGCCATGCCCGGAGACCACCGCCGCATCCGCGGGCCCGAGGAGTCGCAGCCGCCGCAGCTGTACGCGGCCGACGAGGATGAGGCGCCCGCCGCCCGCGACCCGACGCGGCTGCGACCCGTGTACGCGCGCGCCGGGCTGCTGAGCCAGGCCAAGGGCTCGGCCTACCTGGAGGCGGGAGGCACCAAGGTGCTGTGCGCCGTATCCGGCCCGCGCCAGGCCGAGGGCAGCGAGCGCGGCGGCGGCCCAGCCGGAGCGGGCGGTGAGGCCCCGGCCGCCCTGCGCGGCCGCCTGCTCTGCGACTTCCGCCGCGCGCCCTTCGCGGGCCGCCGGCGCCGCGCGCCCCCGGGCGGCGGGGAGGAGCGCGAGCTGGCGCTGGCCCTGCAGGAGGCGCTGGAGCCGGCGGTGCGCTTGGGCCGCTATCCGCGCGCGCAGCTCGAGGTGTCGGCGCTGCTGCTCGAGGACGGCGGCTCGGCTTTGGCCGCCGCGCTCACGGCCGCCGCGCTCGCCCTGGCTGACGCGGGCGTCGAGATGTACGACCTGGTGGTGGGCTGCGGCCTGAGCCGCACGCCGGAGCCGGCGCCCACCTGGCTGCTGGACCCCACGCGCCTCGAGGAGGAGCACGCCGCCGCCGGCCTCACCGTGGCGCTCATGCCGGTGCTCAACCAGGTGGCCGGGCTGCTGGGCAGCGGGGAGGGCGGCCCAACCGAGAGCTGGGCCGAGGCAGTGCGTCTGGGCCTGGAGGGCTGCCAGCGCCTCTACCCCGTCCTACAGCAGTGCCTGGTGCGGGCTGCTCGCCGGAGGGGCGCCGCCGCGCCGTCCTGAACCAGAAGCCCGAGCCACGACGGACGGCGAGGACCTAGCTGCCGCCGCCCTCCGAAGGACCCGTGCCCTCAGCTTCCAGACTGAGCGGAGCTGAGAATTCGGAGGGCCAGGGCGGGTCTGAGGAGGCGTGCACAGAACCGATGCACTGGACAGCCGTGTTGGAACGGTTTTTTTAGACTGCCGTTAAAGAAACTTCTGCTTGAGCTGGTGCTTCCCAGCTACGACCCAGTTGAAGAAACTTGGGAATGCGGCCTGACTCCCCAGTTGGAAAGGACTTTTCAGGCGGACTTACCTGGAAAACGGGACTTGGAGCTTTTGTCTTGTAAGGGATGGACCCTATGCAGGCCAGCTAGTGACTCCCTTCTGTAGAACTGGTCTGCTCTTGAGAGAATGGACAAGAGGGCTGGGCCTTCTCATTTATATCTGAGCTAAAACAAACTCCTTTGTATCTGGAAAAGTCTTTTATTGTGGTTCTTCTCAGTAGTGAATTTAAAGGAGCAAGGCTCTTTTGGACAAGTAATGGACCCTTGGTATCAGGGCTTGGGACCGCATTGTCTTGATGTGTCCTGTTCCTTAGACCAACATAAGTAGAAGAGGCGGGCTGAAACTGAAAGGTGCAGGGGCTGGTGTGGGGAAATGTGCCTTGGAAGAGGAAAACCTGCCCCTTGAGTATCAGAGTTGGCCACTGATGAGGTGTGACAAGAGTAGGGAGGGTTGTATGGGCCCAGGAGCACTCTGGGTGCTCTCTCCAGCCTTTGGTTTGGTGGGCAAGACCACAGCTCAGGGTTGGGTCCCTGGAAGGGGTTTGGTCCTGGGTGGAAGCTAGAGGCCTCCTCCACTACTGGTAAGAAAAAGTGGGGGTCCAAGCTGGCTTGCTTTCTTTCTTTTTTCTTTTTTTGAGATTTATAAATTTAGAGAAAGTGCATGGAAGGGGGGCAGGGGTGTGGTGGAAGAGAGAATACCACAGACTCCATTCTGAGCACGGACGGAGCCTGATGCAGGGCTTGATCTTAGTGACCTTGAGATGGGGACCTGAGCTATAATCAAGAGTCCGACGCCTAACCGCCGGAGCCACCCAGGCGCCCCACCCGGCTGGGTTTATTATTTGGTGCCCCTGATGCAGTCTTGGCTCCTGGGGGAGGGCAGATGAACTTCTAGGAGATAAGAGCTTCTGGGTGTTGGGAAACCAGGTACAGCCTGGCCATTATTGCATGTGGTGGAGCTGGCCTGAGTGACCACAAGAGTGGGATCTTCCCTGTGTGGCTGCTGAGCCCAGTGGGTTTGTGCCCAGGTCTGAATTGGAAGAAGGCAGGCAGCCTGGTCCCCTTTGTGTGCCCTGGCTTAGGAGGAGCTTCTGAACTTGTGACTCAGGGGCCTGCTCAGCTTCTCCAGGAAGGCCTGACCTCAGGGAGCCCCAGGACGAATAAGCCTTGGAGACCACACCAAGAACCCCTGGCCAAGGGAAAAGAAACACAAATTTTATTTTTGCCCTTTTGACATAATAGTATTTCCAGAGCTGATCTGAAGTACATAGTATCACACCAGCAAGAGACAAGATAGAAATAGGATGTAAAAATGATACCACTATTCTGAAGGATGGCTTTATAGGGTAGGTGAGGAGTCTGGAACTAGAGGGGGTTTGTGGGGGCACACACTGAGGAACTTAAAGCTCCGTTTCACACTGGAAGGGGGACTGTAGGCACATGAGTTTCCTGGGCACCACTGTGGCTGGCCGCTGCGGGACGTGCCACACTGGGAACTGGCAGGGGGAATGGGAAGGGTAGCCAGCGCGGTACCTGCCATCCCCAGGAGCTGATGTGTGTCCAAGGGGGGCCTGGGCAGCTGCCCCTTGCAAGACAGCCTCAGCTTCATGAGCGCAGTGAGCTTGTGCTAGGCAGCTGCAGGCCTCCCTCTCGGCCCCTATCTGGAAACATGACCTCCAAAGCAAAAGCCACCATTAATGCGGGAGGCTTCCTGGCTGGTCTGGCTGAGCCCTGCTTCCACTTTCACTGCGCTCATTCTAGAACGGGTGCTTCTGGTGGCACAGTCTCCTTCGGGAGGCCTTCAGGAATCCACACGAGGCAAGCAAAGGAGCCACTTGGGAAGGAGCCTGGAGGGATTCCACCCTAATACTGGCTGCCCTCCAGGTCTGATGCATGGTTCTTCCCCTGTAGAAAAAACAGAAGCAGGACTCTGGCCTGGAGGGCTGAGAGGCATGGAATGCCCAAGAAACAGGCCTGCCTGCTAACCTCTTCCCTCAGCCCCATGTCCCTTTCTCGGCAGCTTCGCCAGCTCAGGGCCACTCCAGATTCTTCCTGAGGCCTGGAAACCCAGAACCACCAAAGTAGTCCCTTCGTGTAGGCCTGGGCAGCGGTAAGGGCCCTCCAGAGCTCAGAGGTCCACGGGACAGGGCCAGATAGGTGGAGGCGGGAAGGCTCGTTACTGCCAGCCCCTCAGCATCCCGGACCTTGCAGAGATGGCCCCAACAAACATGGGGCTTGGCCTGCTGCAGGGACCTCCAATCAGGGAGGAGGACATGGTAAGGCAGGAACATTTGGGCGCTTTAATGCTACCCAGAGGGCTGTTATCAGATCCAGGTTCCGACGGTCTCCTTCCAGGAAGGTCTGAGTACCACAGCTCCCCCGGGGAGCATGGTACCCCGCGAGATGTGGGGGCAGGGCAGGAAAAAGGCAGAAATGGGTTTTAACTGGTTCCAGGCCCTCAGACAAGGGGTCTGGGGCCATGAGGCATACCTATGACATGGTGTAGTGCTCAAAGCCCACCTCCCAGCTTCCAGGAGAGGGTGGTATGTCAGGCCACAACCAGCCCCTAGCTCCCTGAGTTCACCCAGCCCGAGTTGAGAGGGGAAAACAAACAGTACAGGGCCCATCTCCTGGGGGTCACATGGGGCACATGTCCCAGGTCTCCCCTCAACCCCCACTGTAGGCGCCTGCAGGGATGTGAGTCTCCCCCTTGTTCACAGGGAGGCCACAAGGAGCCAAATGCAAGGAGAGTGAGGATGAGGGGAAGTGCCGAGCCACTCACTGCCTCCTCTGGGTCTGCGCTGTCCTCAAAGCTGTCTGATTCCGGATGGGCGCTCTGGCCCCTGGGATCCTGCTGGAGGTCAGTGATTCTGCATGAGGAACCCTTACTGCCTGGGCCCTTGGTTTCTTCACTGTCCTCTGACCCTGTGCAGGGAGAGTCACCAGTTAATGGCCAGGTTTGGAGGCCCCAGCTGATCTCAGAGAGGCCCACTTGGTGCCCAGCACTGATCAAGGGTGCCTAGGGCTTGAAAAGACAAGATGGGGATGGGCTGGGACACTGCTCTGCCTCCAGATAGCTGGAGAGTGGATGGGTGGGTGGGGGTCGGGGAGGCTCATAAACAACCTAGAAGCCACAGGCCTTCCAGCCATAGGAACAACCAGAGGGAGTGGGGTAAAGGAGGGCAGGAAGGAGCCCTGCAGAGGGAAAGCCTCGGGGCAGGATCCAAGGTGCCCCTGGGACCTTTGGCAGTGGGAAAAGCTGGAGCTCACTGGGAATGTGGCCTGGGTCCACAGTTGGTGTTCCACCTGGAAGCTGGTCCCTCTGCTGGTCCATGCATTCCAGATTCTCCAGGAGACGATCCACCTGGGCTTTGATCTGGCTCAGCTCGCCCCTGATGGAGTGCAGCTCCTCAGTCTGGACTGTTTGGAGAGGGGCCAGAGCTGGTGCCCACCAGGCCGGGAGGGCAGAGGGCTCTGCTGCCTGGGCTCCCCAGCCTGCCCTCAATACTAAGGTCCGCCCAGCTCTTCCCTAGCCTTGCAGGTGGGGGCGTCCCCCCTCACTCACGCTTTATCTGCTCTCGGGGCAGGTGGCTCTTTCTGGTGCCCTTGTGGGGACTGAAGCTGCCCTTGACCCCCAAGCGCACCTGAGTCTTCCGGATCTTGACAGGCACACGACTGATGAGCGGAGGGATCCTTTGGTACTCATACACCCTACCGGCACAGGACAGAGGGAGTCAGGCCAAGCAGCCCAGCCGTTTACCCAGAGGACTGAGGGTTAAGACTCACTGACCTGTAGGGGACATCTTCCCTGTACAGCTTGTAGCCCAGGTCGTAGTTACTCCTGCTGCAACAGAGACAAATGGAGAGGGGGTCACTCTCCATGGCCAGAGTCCTCGCCTAGACCCCAGTTTAGCTTGAAGAAACTGAGGCATGCAAGTTTTCCTTAGAACCCCAGGATTTTCCACCAAAAGAGCCCTGAGGGACTTAACCAAGGTCATTTTGGGGGACCACAGCTTCCCCATGTCTGGCCTCTGACAAGGGTCACATTCCAGGTGACAGGGGGGAGACAATTGCCTTCAGCCTTCTGGCCAGCCAGACAGGGACCCTCCAAAGTTTCCTCTGCCTGCCCCAGGAACAGCTGCCGTTCTGGAACTTAGGTCTGGCAAAGGATGAAAGGGAGGAGTGAAGTCAAGGCCCAAAGCCATGGTGGGTGCGTGAGAGCCCTTAATCCTTGCGTGGGGATGGCCAGGATGCAACCCAGCTCTGGCAGGGCCAGCCAGGCAGTTGTAAGGGCTGTGGCCCGGCCACCTTCCTCTTTGCTCTAGGCCTGCGGAGAGAGGAGTTTGGAAGGTCCCAGACTCTCACTGCCTGTGTCTCCGGTGTCCTTCATCTCCAGGGAGCGAACTGTTGCCTACGAGGGATGGGGAGATGGGTACAAAGGGACAGCTTGGTCGCGGCCTGGGCAGCGATGCTCTCTGGGGACACAGCTGCGCGAGCCCCCTGCGCCTGGAGCCGGAGGCGTGATGAGGAGGAGGGGAGGGGAGGGGATGGGATGTGAGCGGGGGCAGCACAGTTTCTAAAACAAATTTCGGGTGCTGTGCGCCCACGCCCCCAGCTCAGGCCCAGCCCACGAGGGGCGAGGCAGATAGAACCACCAGGTCGGAATGGCGGACGTTCAGGGGACCCCTTCCCTTTCATCCTGGCTCCCCCACCCCCAGGCCGGTGGGTGCGAGTTCCGACCACCTCCGCCCCTGCTTTCTGGCATCAGGGGGTCTGGAGGGGCGGCCTGGAAGCAGCAGGGATGCTGATTCCGGTGGTGGGAGGCCCGCCTTTGGAGGAAGGAAAGCGTCAGGAGAGAGGCACCCAGCCCCCGGGGGTAGCGGTAGGGGCAGGGGTCCCCGGTGGGGTGCCGGAAACCCGCAGCCTGGCGGCGGGCGGGGAGGAGCTGCTAGCGGGCGGGGCTTGGGGGCTAGGGCGGACCTGAAGCTGATGCGTCTCAGCTGGGCTCGACTGCTCGGAGAGAATTTTCACTGGTCCGGATCCGCTTAGATTGGCCGGCGGGTCCCCCGACCCACCCCCTAGACAGGCCGGAAACCTCGGCGGAGCGCAGAGGCGGAGGCGGCCGCTGCAGACCCTCTGAGCCTCTGTGGCACCGTGCTTGTCAGTGAAGCATTGGTGGTTCAGTGGTAGAATTCTCGCCTGCCACGCGGGAGGCCCGGGTTCGATTCCCGGCCAATGCAGACTCTTCTAGTTTTCTTTTTATCCCCCCACCCCGCTTTTTTTCCTAAAATGACATTTCGAAGTAGCCAGGAATGAATGGTACAGGAATGGTGCTTCACTGACCGCTTTGCAAGACTTGAGAGCTCCCGAGTGGAGACGGGGCAGAATCGGTTTGGGAGTTAGGGGTCAGGCTGCAGGCAGAGGGACCCCCTGGGCCTGAGGAAGGGGGGGGTCCTGCTTCTCACCCTCACTCCACCGCACCCCACCCCTCAGCAATCAGCCGGGGCTGAAACCTGCGCCCTGCCCTGTGGCCTTGCCTCTTCCCCGCCAGGGGGCAGCGCCTGCGCTCAGGGCTACACGGCCGCATCTGGTCCCTGGTCTGGGCTAATTGGTACAGTCCGCAAGTTGGGGCTCCGCACAAAAAGAGAAATAGGGCGCAGCTTTAGAGTGCTGTCGTCGGCAGAGGTCAGGCCCCTTCCAGTGTCCTCAGGGCCAGGGGAAAGGGGAGGAGACTTGGGGCAAGTCTTTGACCACAAAACTTTGCCTTCAGGTTGAAAATTTCCATTTTCAGGCCCAAGTCACATGGCCTGGACTTGACGAGTTCTCATGAGGAGGACATCCCGCAGCTCAGGGGCCACCTGAACCCCATCCCCACCCTGCCCTTCCTGTGAGCACTATCCCAGGGGCCCAAGCCACAGCCACCACTGCCCGCCCACAAAAGGCTTCATCCTCCCTCCTGGAGTGCCCCCCCACCCCCCGACAGAACATTATGAAACCCCTAGAGTCTCCCACAAGACACAAGGCAAGCCAACAGAGCGCGTAGGCAGCGCCATATCACTGAAGATAGGCCAAGTTCAAAAACCGCGCATTACCCAGCACCAGACACCTGCTCATCCACCCAAAACAAAAGCAGTGGCAAAACCACCCACACTGGCACACTCACAGGGTGACACACACCCCCGGGCGGGTGCTGGCAGGGAGAGATTGGGCCTCATCTATGTCAAGGTCAAGCTGAAGGTGCAGAGACTTCTGGGAGCAGCCCCTAGCCCATCCCTGCCATCTCCTTTCCGGGAAGACGAGGCAGGGTGAAACCCAGAAGGCACAGGGCATTTACGCAGCATGGTTCCTAACAGCAAACCCCTGGCCCACAGCCTCTTCCACCACAAGGTGGGAACCCTGCTCCACCCCCCACCCCACCCCTGCTGCTCACAGGAGGGCCAGGAGCTGAGCGAGGCCACCACAGATGCCCAGCTCAGGGACACGCTCGCCTTATGCTGGTGAAAATGGCACGCGGGCTGGCAGAATGTGGGACCTCCTTTCTGAAAACTTTTCAAGAGTTCTTAACATTTTCTTTAGGCTTCCCAGGTTAGGGGCAAGGTTTCATCCAGGCCATGTTCCCATTTGTGACTTCCCAAACATCTCTAGCTGGAAGAATCCCCCAGGCCCTAGGCAAGTGGGACTCCCCAGGGAGGACCCACTCGCCCCGGCTCCAGGTGGGAGAAGGGGTACCCAGCCTCTGTCAGCAGGATGGTGCTGGGTGACATCAGTGACGAAGGCCCTGGGAATGAATGGTGTCATCTCCCTCAGTTTACAGACTAAACCTGAGGCCAAGGGAAAAGAGATTTGCAGGTGCCACAGTGAGTAGACGAGGTGGCCTCCTGGGAATCTTGTTCCATCTCAGGGGAACCCAGAGCCTCGGACAAGACAGCCACTGGCCTCCTTCCCCTGCAGGCTGCAGGCAGCCCTGGACAGACTCACCAAGAGAGGGCTGTGCCCTGATGCCTCTTCTCGCCCTGCTGGGCAGGGCCTGGCCTGGCCTCTCCAGCCATGGCGAAGTCTGAAGAGAGAACAAGAGAGAAGGTCAGAGCCTGAGGAAGTGGGGGGCTGCATTGAAAGGGCTCAAGTGCACACGGGCCCCACTGGCATCCAGGCTAGCCCTTCCCTACTCCTCCACTCCGAGGCCCTGGGTATCGCTCCGTAAGAGGCCGTGAGGCAGAGCACTGCCCTGGTCAGTGGGCAGCCCCGTCTGATCTCCTTCCACCCCAAACCCACGATGGGAATCAACCCCATCGCCCGTGCCCTGGAATTGGGGGTGGTACCGTCAGAAGGCAGGAGGGAAAATATCCGTGATCTCTGTGTCCTCTGGACACCTAGCCCTGGCAGAGTCAATTCTCGAATGTCCTCCTGCTGCCTGTTTTGCCTGCCTGCTGGTGGCCCACGTGCCCCCGCCTGCGTGATAAGCCCAGGGGGTGGGTGCTGGCCGCGGCGGAGCTGGCCAGGGTGTCTGTGAGTGAGAAGCAAAGCCAGCAGCTGGCCTGGGCTGGGGAATGGACTCCCCGCTGCCTTCTGTCAGAGGGGGAGGTAAGAGTCCACTGAACCCACGCAGGGGAGGGCTGAGACACCCAGCGAGGTGGCGTCAGTGCACTGTCACCGCAGATTGTCCCGTGTCTGGGCTTCTGTCCTTTGGTGGTCCCCACTTGAGAGAGCAGTGCTGTGCCCATGGCAGAGGGCGGGGCTCCGGTTCACTGTGCACCCCATTCGGTGCTCAGGGCCTGGCACTCAGCAGGCACCTGCTGATGTCCTCTGAATATGTAGATGAGAGTCCATTAAATCAATTCAGTTTTTTGTTTGGGGTTTGGATCAGACCCCAGAGTTTCACTTGTGACTTCAGGGCCCCTCCCTGACCCCAACCCCTTTCTTCCTCAATCTGTGATCATCATCCGTGGTCCACCGTGGCTGCCAAGACAGAAGCGAATGTGAGCCTTCTTCCCCCTTTCTCCAGACTTCATGCCACATGAGCTCTGAGAGCACTCACCCAGCCCCTGCTTGCTTCTGGGGAGAACAGGAGACTGGCGACAGTGTCCCCAAGGCACTGACGATCCAGACCTAGGAAGTGGGCAAGTTGTCACCTTGGTCTTTCTTTCTCATTTGTGGTCCTGATTCATCCCCTCAAGGACACATCACACAAATGCCCTGTGTGCCAAAGCAAACGCCCACATTTCCATCTTGTCTGGCTTCCTGCATCTTTCCCCTTGGCACATCTTTATACCTGTGGTCACTTTCACATTTGCAATATCCAGAGGGGACAGAAAATCACACCCATGTCTACCACACGGGGCACAGACACTTAGAAATGCCCGCTGTGCCCCAGATAGGAGGCAGAGCATTCAGATAAGCTTTCCATTCTATTTGGGTTAAACATCATCTCCTAAAATTGGGAATACCGAGTGAGACGTGATTGCCCAGAAAGGAGAGAATGCAGGAACCTGCAACACCCTCGTGGGGCCTCCATCACAGGACCCAGCTTTAGGTCAAGTGGGAAAAACCACTCAGTGGCCTCCAGATTGCCAGTTATGGGCTAATGATAACAAGGGTGCTAGTGGAATATCTGGGAAGTTCACCATCAATGGCAAACCTTGTCCACATGTGTAATAGGCATCTTCCTGGGCACCTGCCACCTGCAGCCCAGAGCAGATAAGCCTGGGGGCATGGCTTGGCCCCACCCCCACTCAGGGGCTGTATTAGTCAAGATTCTCCAGAGAAACAGAACCAATAGGTGGCATAGACAGAAAGAGATTTGTTATAAGGAATTGGCTGACAAGTCTCAAGATCTTTAGTCAGCAAACTAGAGACCCACGAGAGCCAGTGGCATAGTTCCAGTCCAAAGACCAGCAGGTCTGAGACCTAGGAAGAGTGAAAGTTTCAGTTCAAGTCTGAAGGCAGGAAAAAAAAACAAAAACAGAAACAAAAATGGGTGTCCCAGCTCAATGGCAGTCAGACAGGAGAAGTTCCCTCTTACTTTTGGGAAGATAAACCTTTCTGTTCTAGCCAAGCCTTCAACTGATTAGATGAGGCCCACCCACATTGGGGAGGGCAATCTGTTTTACTTAGCCCCTTCAAATGTTGATCTCATCCAAAAACACTTTCACAGACTCACTCCAAATAACGTTTGGTCAAGTCTCTGGCTGACAACCTTGTGGCTGACATTGAAACATAATATTAACTATTATAGGGGCCAAGCACCAGAAACAGGTGAGGTTTTTGCTCCATATTCATCTCTTACAAAGCGACACCCCCTCTTGCATTCCCCCAGGCTGTGAGTGCCTGATTCATGGAACACAGGCAGGATAGTTCATGCATAGGTGTCATAATGAGTGACATTAGATGACACAAGGACAGGGGACATCAGCAGTCAGGTGGGAAGAAAGCAGAAGACAGAAACAGACCAAGTGGATGGAAGGACTAGAATAAGGACAAAGGTGAGA